TACACTGACAAAAACTACGTGTTCAGTTGGAGTTCTAGTTGGATTAAAAACATGAGGCGTCTTAGACTGTTTACAGATGGTTTTTCTATATTTAAGAGGGATTGCACAAACTGTGAGCAGCAAAGGTGGTGCCTCCAACTGACTATAAAGCAGACAATCCTCTTGCCCGAGTTGTTTGAAGCCAAATGAAGTCCAGTCAACTCGGTTCCGAAGGGGCCTTGGCGTGGGGACCCGAGACCACGAGGTTGTTCGTTCTATGCGAGGTTTGGGTTGAACTAGAGTTAACGGATGATCTGTTTATTCGTTATCAACATTTGTGTACTTGACAATATATTGATCAAGTAGAAAGGTCAATGAGAAACTCAGCTGCTTGTCACTTTTGACAAATGTCACTTTGTGAGCGTGAAGGATTGTTTGCAATAAAACACAGCAGCTGTCTTTTGGACATTTTTACGCGAAGACGTCAACACTCAAACTTGGCGTACGCAAAGTGTTATCTATCAATGTACTCTTCATTCTAGCTGCCATCTTGAAACACCTCTACGAACTTGCGCTGTAGAAAAAGTAATAGGCTTAATTTATAAAAATGTCCCAAATGTTGGTAAAGTGGTACAACTAGGCTCGATCCGTCTTCCTTTTGTTGTAACATATTCCTTTCTTTCAATTATAATTTGCAGCCGCCGCGGTCTTTCTGCCCGAAAAGGTTATCATTCTAAACACGGAAGAAAACGTCAAGTGGCTTATTCATATGACAAAACATTCATTAAAGTTCTTTGTCAAGAGGCCTACAATATTTGAAATGCGTTTCTCGTGTGGTTGGCAAGCAGAAATCAGTCAAGCCTTTGTTATAATATTCTGGAGTAATTATGTACAAAAAACATTCTGCATCCTCTCAAACTCACCACCTACGTAATCGTGATTAGTCTGCGGCATCGATCAGACGATGTCAGTTTGAAACCGACCACCAAGAAAAATTTTTTCGAAGCGCAGGCCTAATCTTCGCTGAACATTAAATATTACATTCTTTCATTTATGTAGCTCTTAAATAATAGACATTTATTGAAAAAAAAAATTGTTTTCAGCGATGATATAATGTCTTAACTGAACAAGCGAGAGGAAGTGAAGGTCGAGGGGACTGTTTTGACTGAACTCTGAAAGCCGTACTCTATTCAAGATTATGCTCCGCTGTATTTTGCAATTCTATTCTACATGCAATTGGTATCATGAAACCCTTTCCCCACGCTAAAGTCGCGTTTCGAGAAACTTTTTTCCATTGACGTTGCTGAAAAGATTTGTATTCCATTTGTATGTAAGCGGGCTCTTTCAACAACATCGTCATATCACGGTTCATTTTTCCAGTAACTGATTTTTTTTTTTTAATTTAAGCCAAGAACCTCCTATTTATATATCCTATTCCAGACTAAACTGCTAGTAAACCACGCTCATTACATCTTACTGACTACTATAGCTCCTATGTGGCAATACCAAACCTAGGCTGGGTCTGAACACTGTATGTGTTCCACCTGGATAGAGAGGAAATAAATATATCACTCAGGAGTGCCACGGCGTCACTAGTTTAATGCCCGACTTCGATGGTGCCGAAACTGGATGGAATATATATCTGTTTCTCCACCGATAAGCATCCTATAAACTTCGAAGCCTAAGCTGGTGAACGCTGCCTAGTTGCCTCGTCGCCCACCGAAGGTATCGTAGGCCAACCAAAGAGCGAGGCCTGGGGACGGGAGGTTGGCGAGAATCACTTTTATGGGCAGTCACGCATGGGGGAACGATTGCATGACTAGCTCGTCTGCCGTACGAGGCTAAGCGGAACAGGCGTACCAGGAGACAGGCAAATTGATGACTCATTTGACTCGTGTACCTTTCGAAACACAATGAAGGGAAGTGTAGGGGTAGGAAGGGCTGTTGTATATCTAACCATGTTACTGTTCCCAGCGAGTGGGAGAAGTGAGGGTGAAGTAGCTAAAGAGTCAAGGAAGAGGCATTTGTTTGTGCAGAGGGACAGGCCACTGCCAGGCTCTCCGACAAAGTTGTTCAAGATTGAGCATGGATTTCCGTCACGGTCTAGCGGCCACCAAAATGTCCACGAAGTGTTTCAGCGAGCTCGACGATCCATAAACCCCGACATGAGGCCAGAAGCTACTGTGGTAAGACATTATGCTCTTGTTCGTACTTTGAAAAGTTTTCTGTAATTGTGTAGCCGACTCTGAATCTCATGGCGGTGAACATAAAATGTTACACTACGACGGCCATATTGAATGTAACGGATATTATGGAATTCCCAGGGGACAAGGAGTGTACATGGCATGGAAGCTGTTGTTGTCGCTCCTGTTATACTTTTATTCATCGTTTTTTTCTTTTTTTGTCATGGCTGAAACACGGAAGAGTTCAGCATGGAAAACCTGAAGTCGAGAATGTTTCACCAAGCGACAAGGAAAAGTGATCCAATGCGCAGTGATTAAATAAACAACCTTGGCTACCCAAAGGAATTCAAAAGAAGTTCTTGTTGAACTAGTATAATTTAAAAAAAAGTTACATTTTTAAAGAAAAAGGATACCTGCTTATCGATTAAAGTCTAAATGTGAAATCAAACTTAAAAATTAAATTTGGTAATTAAAACTGAATATTGGCTCGTCGGTATTAAACCACACATCGAAGGATAGCCATTCAGCCTTGTATGCAAATTTGTCTCGTAAAAACAAAACTGGTTACAAGAGTCTTCCAAACGGAAAATATAAGTGAAAGAATACAAAAACAGGAAACTAATTTGAACACATTTTTTTTTTTTTTTTTACCTGTAAATTTACTTAACTATTAACGTTTTACATAGCGCTTTCCATCAAAGGCAAGAACCTTACAAAAGGATTTTACACTTTTGCAAANTTTTTTTTTTTTTTTTTTTTTTCCCAAGTGTGCAAATCTAATGACGCCAGATTTTAGGCCTACTTGTTTACTCCGGCTTTTATCATCAACACTACAATATTTTGTTGCTCAGAAACGATCGAGTTCACTGAACTATAAAAAGAACAGACCCGAATGTGGGTTGATCTTGTTGATCTCTAACTATGACCGTTCGACATCTTCAAAGCTACAGGAATGAACTCGACAAAATTGATCACCGCAGTTATACACAGAACTTAAGGTTACTTCAAACCTTCGCGGGTGTCCTCCAGAAAAAAAATCGTACGCGCGTTGTTTTGAAGGAAACCCCCACAAACTATATATCAATAGAAAGGTTATAAAATGTAGTATTCGATAAAATTATATTTTTTTTGCCAACTGCTTTCCTAAGGCGGCAGAAGCCGTTATCGCCAAAACGACCGACTGAAATTCCGGCGAATTAATCGGCTATCAAATGCGATCGTTGATGCAAAATAACTGTGCCGTGTTAATCAGAAAGCATCAATCTCTCAAAGCCTGTCAGCATTTTCTTTCATTTCTATTGGTTATCTTTTTATAGATCTGTCAAGCTCCACTATCGAAAAATTCGCGTAACGTGTTTCGTTAGAGACCGCCACGAGAAAAGTATTTGAAATAAAAGAATTCGCCGACACGTTTTTGTTCCGTATCTTTCAGTGAATGTTCTGGCCAAATTTCAAGGAAAACCGTCCATTCTACATACCCTATTAATTCATTTAAAGAGGAGGGATTCTCTCGAAAAACGAGTACAAGTTTTCGCCTTCTAAAGATTTATAAACATGTCACGCCTTCTCAGAGGGACATGTCAACTCAAAATGCCGTCAGCCAATGAAATAACAGCACCCATAGCGTTCACAGTAAGGAAAGCTGAGCTCCGCGGTAAAGCGATAGTGTTACAGTCACATTTTAGGTGCATACGTTTTCGTTTTAGGCCGGTGGTCAACAAGGGCAAAACGGAGAAAAGCGATGTGTAACAAAACAAAAAGAAACTGAGGAGTAATTGCCGAAGCGTGATTACAAGAAGGCATTCTTAACGGACATGAAATCTCAATTTGATATAGGATCTCTGGCTTAAGCAGTTTGCCGCGAAAAGGTCGCTGAGGAGTCCATGCCTTTTGAGGATTACAACACCTTGACGGTTTAGTAACTTTTACTAAAAAAAAAAACCTCTTTTTCCTAATAACTCGCACGCGTTTTAATATTTTATTTTCATTTTTGGAAAATGTTACCTTGAATAATGAACCTTAATTTGGTTGGAAAAAAGAAAATTTGGAAAAAGTAGCCCCGAGAAGGTTTGAAGTAGCCTTAAGCAATTATTTTCAGGCTTTAATTTCGCTACCGCGTTGTGTATGTAATGATCAATCATGTCTTCATATCTTTTTTCGCAGTTCAAATATATAGTATTTTATACATTATATATTCACTTGAAAGCTTCAGGAAGTTTATGACTAGCTTACGCGGAAAACCTCTAATGAAGTCCTCCATAAAAAAAAAAAAAAAAAAAAAAAAAAAAAAAAAAAAAAAA